CTTTTATTTAAACTGGGGTTTATGAGATGTTCAAAAATTAACCACTGATTTGACATTGGTTATTTCCACTGAGATTTTCAAGTTATGAAGTGTTTGTGATTACTGTTTTGCCCGAGGGGCTGTTTTACGAACTATGCTTTGCCCGAGGGGCCGATTATGACTTTAATCTCTATTATTATTTTAAATGGTATTGAACCCCTACTGAAACTGTTGGAAGGTATTTCAAAGATGATTTTTACTAAAAGCTGGATTTTAAAAGGGAAGATTGACTCGTATTATGATTTGAAAGCCTGTTGTGTTTATTGAACCCAGCGTGAATGTGGATTCATTGTTTCCTACTGCTCAGCCTTTATTTACTCTTATTACTTACTGGGTTGGAGTACTCACATTACTCCCTGCACCTCGTGTGCAGATTCAGGTATATCGGAACCCGGTAGCGGGTGTTGATAGCTCAGCCGCGGAGTCATCAGAGTTAACAAGGTGGCTGCATGATGTTCACAGCACCGCTTCCTTCCCCTCATTGTTGTTACTGTATTTAGTACATTTTTAGACTTTTGTTGTATTCAGACCTTGATAGTTGTTCATGACTAGTGACACTCCGATGCCGGGCTGATATTTTATTCCGCACTGTTATTCCAGGATTCTATTATGAAACATTGTTTAATTTAAAGACCTAAAAATGACTCTTAATGCCTAAAGAGTTAAGGTGAGTGTTGTGTCGGCTGGCCTTGTTTTCACGAGAGGCGCCATCACGACCGGGCCGGTTTGGGGTCGTGACAATTAGTGAATTATAATCAAGGTTAAGTCAACTTCAAACAACAATACTCATGGCTAAACCACAACCCCAGAACTATGGGTTTTAGCCACTCATGATAGTATCAGACAAAGTCATTAATGTTGAATAATTGAAAATACTAAGAAGCGATGAAGAAATCTAATATAGCCTTTCTCCCGAATGCTCCGTGTGTCCCCTAGGTCTAAAGTATGTCAAAAGTCCCTCAAAATAAAGTTTTATATGTATTTATACCATGTAGGGTCAGGCCAAACCGAAATTACCTTCTCCTACGCGAAATAGGATTGTTACTCTGTAAAAAGTGCACAGGCGCACCGCATGAGGTGACACGCCATGCGGGGTGGTATTGGACTTTATCAGGAACCTTGCAATTTCGAGGCAGGAGCAAAATAGGCAGCCGTGGCGCGCCACGTGCCGCGACTGTGGGAATTTGAAAAAAGTTTAAAACATGAAAATTGTAGCCCTTTTAAATAGCTTTCCAATGATATATTGTGAAGCCCAAACGAATTTATAAGCGAAAAATTATGTGCATTTTACTGGACAATACGCAGTATGCCTGCTCGATTTTTCGTTTCGTCCTTAAAGTGCACTATCATCTGTTGATCCCCGAACACGATCCCAACTTAATCCCTGAGCTTTTAATCAGACTTCAAAGCTCCAGAATAGCTTGAATTCATCCAATAATATCTACATAGATCGAAATCACTCCTACAAGGCATAAAACACACATTTAGTGCAAAACACTAGCGATTAAATCTCAAACTCAATTAAAGTGTAGTAAATTAGAGAGTAATAAACGACTAAAATACATAATTATAGTCTACTATCAATTAGTCGATTCGGTTTGCTTTTAAATGTTATCGATTCAGCGATTCAACAATATCAGTCATCTGGTTTATAAATATGCCAAATTAATAATTGAACTAATAAAATATCAGTTATTGGATATCAGTTAATCGATTTGATCATAACAATTCACTTATTGATTTACCTGATAAGATGAAGTAATGCCTTAGTGATCAAGGAGATGACAAGATGATTAATAATTTTTTTAATCAGGAGCTTTATGAGTTTAGAAGATGGATATAAGTAATGTCTTAATCGATCAACTATAGAGGTTGCTGGATGGCATTACTTAATAGTTCTGTATGTAGTTGGTTTTTAACAAATACTACCTCCTATATCTCATATTATTAGTTCGTGATTACTAGAAATAATTATCTCAAATTAATTATCATTTTAAAAGTTTAAAACAATTTTTTCCCCTTTTTTATCATTAGTAATAATTGTTCTTAAAGATAAATATAATACATAAATAGAATATATATTCAATGAATAGAGATTTTATCTTAAGACATACGTAAGAGTAAAATAGTTTATTTATTTTTAATTTAATATTTCTTAATAAGCGTGTAAAGAAAAATACGATAAATAATATGAAACAGAGGGAGTATAGACATGTAATATTCTTTTAGCACTGATATTAAGGACCCGTTTGGTCATAAATTTTGCCAAAATAAATTTGGGTTTTATTTGGCAGACACATGTTGGACCATAGATTTTGCCTATATTTTGGCGAAATCCCAAATCTCAAAACCAGCTCAATGGCAGTTTTTGGGCCAAAATATCACTATTACGTTTTTTAAAAATTGCCCCAAACTTTTGTATTTTATAAAAGAGCCCACCATTTATTATTTTGTAACAATATTACTTCGTCTTCTCGGTCATCTGATAGTGTATCATGTAGTTCATTATTATTATAATAATTTTGTACCAAATTTATTTATGTTCAGGACTATGATTTCCGATAATATTATGAAAGTTATTGATAATGGTACTATTGGGTATTTGTGATAGTTTTTAGAACTTGTGGGTATAAGTCATGTTTCATGTTTTTTTAAAATAAATTTGGGAAACATGTTTTGAAAACTGATGTCCAAACACATTTCATCTTCAAACTAAACTTGACCTAAATCAGAATTTTCAAAATAAATTTGGGAATCTAAAGCCAAACGCTAACTAAAACTTACCTAAAGTCTGAAGAGTGAGGAGACCGCAAGTGTGAAAATTTTAAAACGAAGGTCTCTAAGCCCTAAGGTGGCTTTTACACCTAAGAATAAAATTATTATTAATAAAGCTTATTGAATTATTGTAAATCGTTAATTAGGTAAAATGTTACCTAATTAATTAAATAATCCGATGACAATAATCCAATAACATATTTTCAAACTATGGGTTTCCTTTAGTTGTTGCTAAGTCAATTTCCTTTCTTTTGCCTTATATTTCAGACACCTACAATATGACAAATCAAGAGAAGAGAATAGTGACAAAATTGAAGTATTTAATTTCTGAATACAATGAATGTATGATTTGCATTTACCATGTGAACCCAAAGAGAGTCTCATATAATTCTTATTTTAAAAAAATCATTAATATAATTTTTTGTGTACTAGATACATTAATAATTACTCCATCCAGTTCACAATAAGTGATCAATTTACTTTGGACGCATCTCGTAAGAAAATATTAAATTCTAGATAAAAGTAGTTAGTATGACTAAACTACCCTTAATTAAATATTGCAGCATAGTTAATGTGAGGAATAAAAGACTTTTTAGGGATACATATATGAGAGTAATTTTTTAAAAATAAATTTAATTGTTTCTTGGTTATATAACCAAACCAAACCAAACTGACCAAAAAACCCCAATAAGCTTTATTAATAATAAGTGTCAATTTATAGGTATCGAATAAGTTTGGTTTTGGTTTTGAATTTTAAAAACCGATCAAATTTGATTTGGTTTTGGTCTTAATTAGAAAAAAAACCCGAAAAATCGACTATAGGAGTAGCTATTTCAAATTTATTATTACACCTATATATATATATATATATGTATATTTTTATACAAATTTCAAAAATTTAATGGTAAATGTTAATAGTTTGCACTTTTAGTATAGTTCTTTACCTTTACATTCTAGTTTGATTGGTAGTTTTCTTTTGTCAAGTGTACGAATCCATTTCATATTAAAAATAATATATTTTTAATTGAGTCATTAAATTATTCATCACTATTTGATTCAATTATCATCAATATATCTTGGTAAATAATAGATTTTTTAACGAGCAATTGATTTGATAGTGTTACGTTGAAAATGTGGTCCCCGGAAGTGTGTTTGGTAGCGTATATCTTATATTTAAGAAAAAACCGACAAATAACCGAAAACTCGAAAAACTGACAAAACCCGACATAAACCGAATGTAGAAAAAACCGACTTAATTGATTTGGTTTGGTTCTAATATTTAAAAAACCGACTTACTTGGTTTGGTTTTTTTTATAGGGAAAAACCGATCCAAAACGAACCATGAACACCCCTACCGGTAGTGTTCATAAAAATCCGAAAACCCGAACCAAACCGACCAAAAAAATCGATACTTTTTGGTTTGGTTTTGGTTTTAATTAAAAAACCGAACCAAACCGAATATAGGAGTAACTATTTTAAGTTTAGTATTACACCTATATATATATACTTTTATACAAAGTTTTAAAAATCTTATAGTAAATATTAATCATTTGCACTTTTAGTACAATTCTTTACCTTTACATTCTAGTTTAATTGGTAGTTTTCTTTTGTTAAATGTAAAAATCTATTTCATGTTAAAAATAATATATTTTTAATTGAGTCCTTAAATTATTCATCACTATTTGATTCAATTATCATCAATATATCTTGGTAAATAATAGATTTCTCAAAGTGCAATTGATTTGATAGTGTTACGTTGAAAATGTGGTCGCCGAAATGTGTGTTTGGTAGTGTGTCTTATATTTAAGAAAAAACCGAAAACCTGTCATAAACCGAATCGAGAAAAAACTGACTTAATTGGTTTGATTTGGTTCTAATATTTGAAAAACTAACTTATTTGATTTGGTTTTTTTTTAAGAAAAAACGATCCAAACCGAATCATCAACACCGTGACTATAGGAGGGTTAACCCCTAAAAACAACTTGAAGATTAATAAATATCTTATTTTTGGTGGTATTGTCAAACAAAGCCCCCTTTCCCGAAAAAAGAAAAAAAAAGTCCTCTTTCACAGGGTGCAAAACTGAAAGCATTTAATTAAAAAAAAAACTGTAAAAATCAATAAACAAAAGAAAAGGGAGAATTTAGGAAGTAGCGCTATTTATTTATTTTGCCGCAGTAGTAAAGTGAGAAATAAATTCAGAAAAATTAATTGAAAATACAGAGAGAGAAGACGAACGTGTAATAAAGAAGAAAAGAACTCGAAGCAAAACCATAAGTCCATAACTTATTCCCAATTACCATTTAATTTTTTCCTTTATTTGCACAACAATTCTCTTACCCTTCTGATAATAATGCTTTCTCCAATCCAGATTTGTATCAAATTACAATTTTATTGATTATTTATTTTGTATATACAAATCTTTTTTTTTCCTCCAATTTCTTCCTCTGCATAAGATGCACAAAAGGTTGCTTCAATTCTTGCATTCTCCGTCTGGGAACGCATCAAGGTTGAGTCTTTGAGGTGATAGAGCAAAGAGTAGTGGAAATAGGCGAAAACCCACAAAAATTTTGGTGAAAAATTATCATGGAAGGTATAAAAATTTGACCTTTTTTTCATTACAGATCAAAATTTAATTGTAATTTGGTGTTTTACCGCTGTGTTGGATTTTACAATTATAGGCGTTTTTTTCTGTTTTAGAAATATTGGGTTTTGTGTGCAGTTTTAAGTTGAGTTCTATGGGTAAATTACAGTTTCTGCATTGTTGCGGGTTTAAAGTTTTGCAATTTTTAGTTCTGTGATATTGAGTTAGATGTTCTGTTTTGGTGATAAATCATAATGGAAGGTATCAAAATCTACCTTCTTTGGTTACAGATCAAAATCAAAATGTAATTCTGGGTGTTTTACCACTGTGTTGGATTTTACAACTGTAGGTGTTTCTTCGATTTTATGTGCTGTTTTAAGTTGAGTTCTATGGGTAAATTACAGTTTCTGCATTGTTGTGGGTTTAAGGTTTTGCAATTTTTAGTTCTGTGATATTGAGTTAGATGTTATTTTTGGTGATAAATCATAGTGGAAGGTATCAAAATTCTACCTTCTTTGGTTACAGATCAAAATCAAATGTAATTCTGGGTGTTTTACCACTGTGTTGGATTTTGCAACTGTAGGTGTTTCTTCGATTTTATGTGCTGTTTTAAGTTGAGTTCTATGGGTAAATTACAGTTTCAGTATTGTTGTGAGTTAAAGATTCTGATTTTGCAGCTGATGAGCTTTAGGTGTTCTTTTTTGAGAGATTGATCGTTCGGTTTTTGTACGGGGATTAAGCCTTGATGTTCTCTTTAGTAGAGAATGTTAATATCTGATAGTTCATGGTGTATAAATATTGTAAATCATGGTGATATTGAGGATTCAAATAATCTATCAGGGATTGGGCGCAGTTGATTGATATTGATTAATAATGGTTCCAGAGGAGTGGGCAAGTTGTTGTTGAATATTCCTTTATACCTTGAGATTTATGTGCAATGTAGGTATTTTGTGGTTTTGTGTGCCTTTTAGGAGGTGGGGATTGGAATGTTTTGCTGGTATGCAGATTACCTTATTTGTAATATGATATTTGCAGTGTCCTGACAAGGGAGGTGTTAATTGGTTATGATGACAGGGAATGAAATTGAGTCCTGATTAATAAAAAGTGGTTGAAACTTGAGATGATGATGGTTGAGATAGCATTTTTTTCTTTCTATGCTAGGTGCATGACTAAGATCACTGGGTATCAAGTACATAGTGTATTTGAAATAGGGAATGCCCCTTTCCTGTCCTTTTCCATTAGTACTGGAATTCACTTTCAAGTTAAACTCAAAATAAATTATATGGATGTGCTAAAGTGATATAGGTAAATGTGACTAGAGTCAATTCAGATGAGATAGGGAGGAGTTAAGTAATGAACTATTGTTTCGTCTTTTGTACGGATCATCTTTTGAAGTGGTCCATTATCACAGAATTGTTACACATGACCCCTTCCAAAGTCCCCTTCTTTTAAATGCTTACCGGTAGATACAATACCATCTTCGGTCTCTAGATTCCTTGAGAAAAAATTCTTTTCTATTTTCTTTTTGGTTTTGGATCCTTGATGTTTCATATAATAGTTATGAAGTTTGTTCAATTTATATACAGAATAGCAAATATTATTTCTTTTTCAAGTAGAATCTATTATTGTCGGAACAGTTAATAGTCTTTATTTCCTGCTTGGATAATAGTTAAGTTGTTAACCTTTTGCAGATTTATGTGAAGTGCATTCTGAAGACGATAAAGGTCACCCTGAGAAAAACAAGAAAAGAATAATCAAGACACGTGCTCAGGTCGAAGCTCTAGAGAAACTTTATGAGGGTAAGAGATCGTATTTACTATTTTTTTGTTTTGCAATTAGCTACTACATCATACCTGTTGTTTCAGACATCGCAATAAGAGAAAGCTTATAAATTTTCAGAACACAAGTACCCTACCGATGAGATGAAAGCTGATCTGGCAGAGTCATCGGGATTAACAGAAAAGCAAATTTCTGGTTGGTTTTGTCATAGGCGGTTGAAGGACAAGAGGCTGTCAAACGGGGAAAGATATGCAAATGGAAGACAAGATCGTTCAAGTGGCGTCATTCAGGACCATGGCAGTGGATTTAGGCAGGATTCTTGTGGTAGCACTAAGCAAGCGGATGATAAGAGATTTGATCATCGGGAAGTTGAGAGTAGAAGATTAACTGGCCCAGAATTCTCAACTGCAGATGTGACATATGAGGTTGGCACTCATTTTAGAGGGAAGTCTAATCCCATGGATGACGCATCTTCAAGAAGTAGCTCTTCGTTAAGGAATGAATGTTTTTCACACAATGCAGAATCATATGATATAGCAACTTCGAGATACATATCACAGAATTTGCCTGCTGACTTTAAGGGTGTAAAACCAAAGAATGGCCCATCTGGCTATTTAAAAGTAAAGGGTCAGGTAGAGAACGCTGCAATTACTGCTGTGAAGAGGCAATTGGGGAGGCACTATCGGCTGGATGGTCCAGCACTTGGTGTTGAGTTTGATCCACTTCCACCTGGTGCTTTTGAATCATCAGTGCCAAATCCTGTCAATGGTGAGGTCAAATGCTTGTTTGTTTTTTGGTGTTTTGGTTATCCAAGTTTTGTATTCCCTGTTGTTTCTATTTGGTACTACTTATTCTTTTTCTTCTCTCTTCCTTTTCTTTCCTCCTCCTCCTCCTCCTCTGTCAATGGCGAGGTCAAATGCTCGACTATTTTTTGGTGTTTTGGTTATCCAAGTTTTGCATTCCCTGTTGTTACTATTTGGTATACTACTTATTCTTTTCTCCCTCTTTTCCTTCTCTCTTCCTTTCCTCCAAGTTTTATGCTGTCTGGAATTACTCTCTTTTTTTCCAGCTCGTATGCCTTAATCTTTCAAGAAGATGCCTCCTTTTTCTGCTTTGCCATGCTTAGTTCTTATTCAGCGTGGCTGCTTACTTGTTCACGTGTCATATTTTATATGAATACACAATTTTTTGTCTTATCAAAGCTTTATCACAGAAAAACATGATACAGATAGCTTTATCTTAGAAATATGATTATGCTGTCAGCTATGTTTTGCTTCAGCTTTTGCTGCGTCTTCCATATATTGGGCAATAACTGTTAAACTCATCTTCTTCACATCTGAGGGGATTAAAATTGGAACAGTTTCATTGTTTTATCAACTATGCTGAGCACTTTATTATATACATGAAATTTTGTTTTTCAAATTATTCATAGGCATTAGTCCGTGCCGGGTGGTGTATGATATTGACATAGATGTCAACCTTGGTTCTGTATTTACAATAAGAGTTTGAGGGATTTTTCATGCTGAATGTCAAGCGCTTATTAGTATGTCCAGTATCACCTCAACTCTGTTATATATCTGCAAGTTTATATTCTTAATGTTACATTTCTTGGTTGTATGTCTGAAATATGGATTCCCAAGTAACTTAGTTTCCTGATACAAAGCATTGCTCACTGATACTGTCATATGAATTTTTCACAGACCCTTATTATTCTACAGAACCTGTTCCAGATTGCTCACCAGATATGTCCAACGTCTGCAGGCGGTCAAATGTAAGTGGATCTTGCCGCAGTCCTCTTAATTGGTTTGGTAGACGTCAATTTAGGAATTTCAAAACCGTGAATGTTCTGCATATTCCACAAGAATGCTTAATTTGTTATGGCAACTCAATTAAAACTAGAATTTAGACGATATTTTTTACCCTTTACTACTTGATTGTTTTTTTGACAATGTAGCAGGTATGTTTGTATTAATCAATCTTCAGCACAAAGGTTGTGTTGGAAAAAAAAGTTTACAAAAGCCTACAGAGCTCCCTATTCTAATCCTTGCTCATCTTACAAGGAGTCTAGGACCTGTAGAATTGACTCTTAAGTCAACACTGTATTCTTTTTTACACCAAAAACAAAAAAGAAGAATACAATTCATCTTAATTTTCTGAATAGAACTAGTTGAATCCTCAAAACATCTTGCGTTCCTCTCCTTCCATATTGTCCACCAAATAGTTGCAGGGACAATTTTCCACCTGTCTTTGTTGGAGGCAGTGCACTTCCCCCCTTCATTCCAGGTTGACAATAGTTCAGATGTTCTTCCTGGCATTGACCATCTAATGCCTCTGAGGTTGACGAATAAGTCCCACAACTGACTGGTCACTCTACAATGTAGAAACAGATGGCTGATTGTCTCTACCTCTTGACCACATAAGTAACATCTCGAACAGATTGGTATTCCCCTTCTCCTCAAGTTATCATGTGTTAAAACTGTTTCTCTAGCTACCAGCCAGACTAAACATGCCATTTTGTATGGTATTTTGACCCTCCAGATGTATTTCCAAGGCCATAGGTTGACTTGTCCACCATCTTGGTTTAGGTATTTGTAGGTTGAGCTGAATGTGTACACCCCGCTGCTGTTTTGGCACCACCTAAGTCTGTCATCTCCCTCCTGTAATCCATTGCATAGCTCCAGAGTATTGAAAAGATCTGTAATTCTGGGCAGCTCCCAATCATGTAAAGGTCTTCTGAAAGTGAGGTTCCAAGCATTTGCCCCTCTAAGATGGTGTACTGTGGCTCTGTGTTGTTGATTCAGAGCATAAATGTCAGGAAAATGGTTCATAAGATAACCAATACCTAACCAGTTATCTTCCCAGAAGAGAGTTTTCCTTCCATCTCTTACTTTGAGTTGAAGTTTGACAGCAAGGTTTGGCCACAGATTCCTTATAGTTCTCCATAAGCTGGTTCCATAAGCATTGTTTACCTGCTTAGTCATCCAGAATCCTTCCATTCCGTATTTAGCCTTTATAACCTTGCTCCACAAAGCTTGATCCTCCCTTGTAAACCTCCAGAGCCATTTCATCAAAAGGCTTTTGTTCTGCAGTTTCAAATTCCTGACTGCTAGACCTCCCTTCTTTTTACTGAGGGTCAATGTTTTCCATTTGACTAGGTGAAAACCCTTCTTCTCTTTGTTTCCATGCCAGAGGAAGTTTCTTCTCAAGGTGTCCAGTCTTTTCTCTACATTGGCAGGTATAGGAAATAGGGACATCATATATGTGGGGAGGGCATCTAGTACAGAGTTAATGAGGACCAATCTACCACCCAAAGAAATGTAGTTCGATTTCCATCTTGCTAGTTTTTTCTCACATTTTTTCAGAACTCCATTCCATATATCCTTGGATTTGCTTTTAGCACCCAAAGGCATCCCCAAGTAAATGGTTGGGATAGAACCAATTTTACCTCCAGAACACCTGCCAGCAGCTGAATATTAGAGACCTCATTGACCGGAAAAATTTGGCTTTTCCTCCCGTTGATATGTAGACCAGAGATGGCTTCGAAGATTATGAGGATCACTCTTAGATACTTTACTTGGGTCACATCAGCATCACAGAAAATGAGGGTATCATCTGCATATTGAAGGTGAGTAACCTCTAATCTGTCCAGTTGTTTTTTTGCAACGTTGAAACCTTTAATCCATCCATTGCCCTGTGCTGTTCTTAACATATAGTTAAGCCCTTCCATAGCAAGAATGAACAGGAAAGGGGATAAGGGGTCTCCTTGTCTCAAACCCCTTTCCGAGGGGAAAAAACCTTCAGGGGCTCCATTGATCAGGATGGAGAACTTGACAGTGCTTATACAGAATCTGATCCAGTTGACCCATTTCCTACCAAATCCCTTCTTCTGGAGAGTTCCTAGCAAAAATTTCCAGTTGACATGGTCAAAAGCCTTTTCAATGTCTAATTTGCACATAATTCCCATCTTCTTCTCCTTGAGTCTGGAATCTACACATTCATTTGCAATCAGTACTGCATCTGTGATTTGTCTCCCTTTTATAAATGCCATTTGCTGTGAGTCTACCAATTTGTGCATCACCCTTATCTTTCTATCAGTTTATAGATGCTGCCTATGAGGCTGATAGGCCTGAAGTCCCTTAACTCCTTTGCACCACCCTTCTTAGGAATCAATGCCAAGAACTCCTGAGAATGAAAGTTTTGAATAGTAGCCATGATGTCCGGTTTCACCATATCCCAGCATTTGATGAAAAAGCCCATAGTGTACCCATCCGGTCCCGGAGCTTTGTCTATTGCACAAGCCTTTAAGCATTCAAAAACTTCATTCTCCTCGAAAACATTTTGCAATGTCTGTACTTCAGCTTCAGAAATAGATGGGCAATTGTTCATATTGCAGGTTGGCCTCCATACTTCTGATTCAGAGTATAGCTTCTGATAGAAGTCGATAATCTCCTTTTTGATCTCAGCTGGTTCTTCAATACTATCCCCATTTACCTCCAATTTGCTGATGTTGTTGAATCTTTTATGTGCATTGGCAGTTCTTTGGAAGAACTTGGTGTTCCTATCTCCTTGTTTGAGCCATAGAGCCCTAGATCTTTGTCTCCAGGCAATTTCCTCCTTTGTAGCATATTCTTCAAATTCTATGGATAGGTTTGTTCTCCTAGCCATCTCCTCCTCATTAAGGTTCCTCTGTTGTTGGATAGCATCCAACTCAGCTATTTGGTTCAGTATGATATTTTTCCCCCTCTCCAGGTTGCCATAGCTATTCAAGCTCCATTCTCTCAGTTTGCCTTTCAAGGCCTTTAGTTTGCAAGCAAGGATATAGTCCGGTCTACCTTCAAAGATGAAGGATGTCCACCAGTTCTGGACTCTGTCAGAGAAGCCTTCAGTCTCCAGCCACCAGTTTTCAAATTTGAAGTAGGATTTGTGTGAACCCAGCTACCACACTGTAGCATTAAGGGTGTGTGATCAGAACAAACTCTAGGAAGAGTTTCTTGTTTAATGCGGGATGGAATGAAATTTGTATATTCCTCTCCATCAATACTCATTCCACTCCCACTTTACTACTTGATTGTTGAAGCGAAGGAACTTAGGAAGTGCCATATTTAGAACTATGCTATAGCAAAACTGCACAAATTTGTATATATAAGTATTAACTGTACTTCAAACCATTGTGTGATATGAAATGTTGAAACATATTTGAAGCTTGCAGACTTCTTTGGTAAATTCTTAGATGGCACATCTTTGATGGACTAGATTTCCCTTTTGATTACCGGTATGGAGGCCAAAATTATTGAATTAGTTATTATCTCACAAAACAACAACAAACAAACCCAGTATATTCCGGGTGCGGGGAGGGTAGAGTGTACACAGACCTTACCCCTGCCTTTTAAAAGGCAGGGAGGTTGCTTCCGGTAGACCCAGTATTTTCTCACAAAAGCTTGTAGAAATTCAATAATATTTTTCTTGGCTTGCATCTTTGGCGAATTAGAGTGCTTCAAGGTTGGATTATTGGCCCAAAGTTTGTAACTTACCAAAAAAAAATTCTTAAAAATGCACATCCAATATACAGGAGGTATTTTTTTTTTTCCTTCTATGTATTTGCATCTTCTTCTTCTCTTTTCTTTTTTTGATAAGGTAAGATAGATATGTATTTGCATCTTCTGGATGCTTGTTAATGAAATATCTTACTTCATCAAAATAAAAACTTACTCTTTAAATATTATTCCATATTTTCCTTCGTATTTGTTGGGAACTTTAGAATTTTTCTCTTCCTTTTGTCCGTGAAGAGAGACTTGTTTCAACTGGACTATAAGATACCGGATTGGGTCATTCATGGCAAACCTATTTTAAATTTACAAGGGATTACTATCTTCAGATAAAAATGATTATAGCTGTTGACTTATCAGAATAAGGATTGTTATAGCACCGGAAACTTTTAGCAAAGAAATGGAAGGTTCTGATTGTTGCTTCAGTGTTGTCAGTTTTCTTTAAACATTATTATTTCTGATAAATAGTATAATACACTTCTTATTACTAGTCTAATCACTTTGTTACAATAAAAATGCTTTTCTCCAAGGGATTTACCAGTACTTGGTGTAACGTACCAGATTAGATTCTTTATATCATGACTTAACCTTCTCCAAATTCAGTGGAATTACTGTCCAAGAATAAAGATTAGTACATTAATGGAATCTTTAGCAAAGTAAAGTAAGGTTTTGTAGGCTGCTTGAGTTCTGTTGAATTACTTTTAAAATCAGCTCTGGTATGAGAATCACGCCTTTGAAAGTTTGAAAGTGATGGTTGCACTAATCAAGAGAATTCCTGAATTCTTATAAAAAGGCTGCTTTGTGATTACACCAGTGATTTCATTTGTCACTTACCTTTCCTGGGAATCAATAAATAGTCTGTACTCTGAAGTAACCTTTGTCTTCGGAATAAAAATCACTCCTTTTTATATATGTATCTTTTAATTTTTAGAATGGTCTAAAACGGAATTGTGCTTTACTTGTTTTTAAGGGCCACTCATCTTACCAAGTTACCATATAGATCTTACTATCTAAACCGAAGTCTCGTGATATGTGGTTTCTATAATTATACATATTTTGTTTTTGCATTGCCCCATCAGGGACACAGATCCAATTCCAAGTCCAACTCGCATGATTCTGATCTGGATGGTTTGAGCTTCAAAAGAAAAACCAATTCCGCTCATCCTGAATATCACTTCAACCTAAAGCCTAAGCCGAATTTCTCTGAGCATAATGAATATCCTAAGTGGAACTCATCATTAGACACGTATGAAGGCTCTGCAAGAAAAATTGCAGTTGACAGCAGAGACAGCTGTAAGTTTATGCCCAAACATGGACGTGCAGAAATTAGAGCTATTACTGGTTCGAGCAATGGTCTTCGAAATCCTTACGTTGGAAAAGTCAACGGGGAGCAATTGAAACCTCGGTTTAGTAGCCACAGTGAAGTGAGCCTTAAGGCTGTTGAGAAGGAACATTCTGATCACAAGCCTTCTGATTATAAGGGAATTAACTATCATAATTTTGAGGGGAGAGAGCTCCCCAAAATAGTGGAAAAGGTATAGTATAGTACCATATTGGCTTTATGTACGTTGTTTTATGGTTCAGCAAATCCTGATACCTATTTCCTGAAATGATATATAGGATCAAATCAGTGGAAAAAGGACAGCAGTTGACGAAAACCATGATCTAGTTCGTGTGAAGGTTCCCCGGCACAATGAAACAAGAGTAAGCTTTATGGTTGTTTTGGTTTAATTCTTGCAACTTCCTTTTGGTTTGGACATGCTTATGAGTTCTCTAAACCCCACTTTAAAATTTAAAGGTTGTACATCGTCCAATGGATGAAGTCCCTGACCATCAAGAATACTTGAGGAGAGCTCCTGCCTTAGAAATTCCGCTGCAGACAAATCACCGGATAAGGTTAGACCAATTTAAAGAGCTTGATCGCACACCACTTAGTATGCATGAATCTGCATCTGTGACTAGATTCCTATTTACCCTTTGAATGCCTTCTCTTATTCAATTTCGAATCTAAAATGGTAACATGATGGCTGTCTTTCTCAAAATAAATTTTTTTGTCAAAAAGAAGAATATATGGCTGTGCGCCATGCCATCTTAGAACTGATTTAAGACCTTTATTTGCTTATCTCGATCCATCTCTAGAAGGTTGATTCATGAACAAAGTGCAGGCTAATATTTTCTAGTACATGCATTTATCTTCTCGGCAGTTGCTAAGTTGTGATGTTATCTTAAAAAGACTTCCTACCTGCTATGACCAATTATAGGAGCAAGGTGTTATTTATTATATTGCAAGCAAAAACCAAAGATTTTGAAAACTTCTCTGGTTAGCAATGACTCTGTTTATGTTTGCTATAGGACTGCTGCAGAGATGCGCCGTAGCTTTAGCGAAGATGAAGAAACAGAAGAATCGAGTTCCTTTGACGATTAAAAGATTTGATTTTGACTGAAGGAAAGTAACAGGTCCATTAGTTAGGGATATTTGTTGGATTTCTGTGTCGATAGGACTCCTTCGGATTTGTACAGTTGAAGTATTTCATCATGTGAAGAGATCCTTCAGGGCTTGTATAGTTCAAAATATTTGTATCCCATTTTGTAGGTTGATGCTGAAATAGGAATACTGCGAGTAATATATATTGTCAATTGTCATTTAGCTTAAAGTAAGGTACTTCTGTTATACAGAAGAGGAGATCATTTCTCTATTTGTGCGTGTCATCCTCGCACAGAGGCCATGCCTACTTACTCTATATCGTTCCAATCTTATCGGATGTCCCATAAGGGACTTATATAAAAGAGGCAAGTTTATTAAAACAAACCTCCCTGCAGTTACTGCTACAGTAACTTGATGATCATCTGGAAATTAAATAGGTAATTCAACTCGATTACTAATATGATCATAGAAAATAAAGGGAAAATGACATTGTATAGTCGCTTTCAAAATATATATATATATATNGTCACTTCGTTAATTTTTTGATGCTATATTTGGAATTATCACAATGATTTGCTCCTCTTATTATATATAAATAGAATAGATATTGTCTGATTTTAATAAATAAAATCTCCATTAAATTAAACGGACTTATATAGTCATCAAATAACTTTTTGTTATGTATTTTTATTTATTATATTATCCAGTGTTTAGTATAATTATATTGTTAATAGAAATTATTAGCATATTACTTGTTTAATATTTTTGTTTGCTAATTTTTTTTTGTAATATAATAGAAGATATATATTTTATTACTCTTGAAAATATTTTTTATTTTAAATTTTATTATAATTTCTCAATAATATATTTTGAATTTTAATGAATAAATGCACTTTTTATTTCAAAAAAGTAAAAAATGAATAATTTTAAAAAATGAAATAAAATGATTAACTAACCTAAACCAACCCTCAGCCATATTTGAGTAGTTAATTTAGATAGTTAATTTCTTTGTTAATTTTCAATAAATAATTTCTTTGTTATTAACTAATTATGTCATGTGGCTTTTTTCTAGGCTACCACTTAGATTAATGCGGTGCCTTTTTCTTTGGCTTTTAATAATATATAGATAGATTATTAGCATATTACTTGTTTAATATTTTGCTAATTTTTTTTGTAATATAATAGAAGATATATATTTTATTACTCTTGAAAATATTTTTTTATTTTAAATTTTATTATATTTTTCTCAATATTGTTTGAATTTAATGAGTAAATACACTTTTTATTTCAAAAAAAGAAAAATGAAAATGATTTTAAAAAATGAAATAAATAAATTAACTAACCTAAACCACCCTCATGTATGTTTGAGTAGTTAATTTCTTTGTTAATTTTCAATAAATAATTTCTTTGTTATTAACTAATTATGCCATGTAGCGTTTTTCTAGGCTACCACTTGGATTAATGTGGTGCCTTTTTCTTTGAATTTTAATAAGATATAAATATAGATTTGAATTAGCAATTTTTTAATATTTTTTATTATAAAATAATTTTAAAGTTCCAATTTTGTTGGAGTTTGTCCTAAAATCTACACTTGTTATCTTATGGTTATACTACTTGGTATCATATAATTTTTTTTGGTAATTAAACTTCCATTTACCAGGAAAAATATTTACAAGTAAATCAAAAAACCTTTACATATATCCTGAGCTATCTGTACTTCGCACCCCCCCTAACCACCTTACTATTGCTATATAGTTTTGACTATTACATAGAGTACCAATACAATCTAGTTAAAACTTTCTCCACATGCTTATTGCTTCGACAGTGTAGTTCCTGTATGATCATCTAGCCAAGCACCTCACATCGTCTCACTTTATCTTGGAAAATTCTGGTATTCCTTTCTTGCCACACATAGTATACACATGCTGCCAATGCCATCTTATATAATTCAGTTCTTGCATTTTGCCTCTTCAGCCATTTTTCAGCCCAAGCTAGTTCCTCAGACCATCCATATATTGGTCTTCTTATCACTTGCCAATTTTGCAGATTACCCCACAATTCAGCTGCATATGAGCACTCAAAGAACAGATGCTGAACAGTTTCATTTTTTTTTCTGCACAGTACACACTCCTGATCAATTTGTATTCCCCACTTACTCAGTCTATCTTTAGTATACAACTTGCCATGTGCTATCAATGTTAATATAACTGTCCACCTAGGGCAACCAACATTGCTGCATACAACTCTTCTCCAGCTCACTTTGTTGAAACTTCCTCTCAGCTTATGATATATTTGCTTAATTGAACAGTTGTTCATCTTCATGATATCCTCAAGGTTAAGTCCTGCTTCCTCAAATGTCATCTTTGCTTTTAAAATCTTGTTCATCATCCATGATGTTTGCTTCAGTTGGACTTCCCATATGTTCCTTCCGCTGATGTAGTAGTTGTGCATCCACTGAATCCAGAGTTTGTTCTTCTATTTACATAGATTCCAATATTGTTTACGTATAGCAGCTTTGTTTCACATTGTGATGCTTATAATATTGAATCCCCTTGCTGATTTGGGCATACATACTTTTTCCCATGCAAGCAATGCTTTCTTAGAGGTGTTGCCCTCACTTGTCCACAAGAAGCTTCTGCATATTGCCTCAATTAGCTTAGTAATCTTCTTAGGGAGCACAAAGATTTGTGCCCAGTAAGTTTGCATAGAGATTAGAAACTTTTGATCAATTGAATCTTTCCATCATAAGATAGGAATTTTGCTATCCATGAGGTTATTCTGCCTACTATTTTGTCAATTAAGGGCTGACATTGAGCTACTGATATTCTCTTGGCCGCACTGGCTCTTGAACTTTAACTGTTTGATGACTTGAGCTGGTGGACGCGGACCGCGTGGTAGTGTACCACGGCCGCGATGGCAACTGGCGCGGTCCGCGCAGTCGTGACCGTGGACCGCGTGATCAAAAATGCCCTTCCCTGAACCTTATGAACGCGGACCGCACAGCGCAGGAGTGCGGCGTGAAGCTCCACCGCGGACCGCAAAGATCCTACCGCGGCCGCGTGCCTTTTAGCCTGAATATGTCAAGTCTCTGAACCTCCTAGTGTGGCTGCGGTCACTGTTGTGCGGTCCGCACTAGGCCCTTTTCTTCTTCAATTCTCTTGGTCTTTAGTACTTGAGCAGGTTTCACTCCTTTTTGAGTCGATCTTTGACATTTCGTTACTTTGTCGATCAAACCTACAATCAAGCATAACTTGTGAGCATTTAGGAACTAATTTGTAGCAATTTATATTAAAAGCATAGGCAAGCAGAGGCAATAACACGTTAAAATCCTAACTTATCAACTCCCCCAAACTTAAACCTTTGCTTGTCCTCAAGCAAATAAAATAAGACCCACCCCTTAAAGGAACATCCAAGTAAATCTAGCTACCCTAAAATAACCTCAACAAGCATCAATTAGGACTAACAATTGCCCTCAATACGAATGCATCATTAACACATTTAAAACTTTGAAAACTATGGATCAAGTGTGACACAAGAGCATCAAGAGTTGACACGTTTCATCAACGAGCTTTTTACTTACTTTGGTCATTGTGGAACCCAAACTCTCACATCCTCAACTCTCTCTCAGCAAACCTCACCTTTTAAGTATTGACACACAGATCGAGGTTAATGGAATTTCACTCATCTCTCTCAAAAAGAAGGTCACAAGTCCGACTCTGAGTACCATATGCTTGCCCCTTATGTAAGTATCCGCTAATGTAAGCTCCCTTCAATTTGAGATCAAATAGGGCTTTTGTGGAGTCATTGTGAAGGCTTTTAGGTAAGGGTAGGACATATTTTTATTTAAATGGGTTCAATCTTCCCTTAAGCACTTTTTTTGATTCATTTTGGCACAACTCTCTTGACTCTTTTGAGTATTTCACTTCTTCACAAGGGGTTAGAGAGACACATTGTCACTCTTTCTTGTACAATTCAAAAAACATTTCTCCTTTTTCTACTTTTTCCACATCTTTTTCACTTTTGTTTTCCTTAAATCCCTTTTTATTCTTGTTCACATGGGACTTTCTTTTTGTCCTTTTTCTTTTCTTACTTTTTCATTGCCTTCTTTTCTTTCTTTTGTACCTTACTGCTTTGCTTCCTTTCTTGTCTCTCCCCCCAAACTTAGATTTTTGTCATTACTCAAGGGAAGATTTGGGTGCCAAGAGAGGGTAATCATTTAGAACGGGTATAGGCTTGTAGCATTGGTTCTTGAAAGAAAAAGGTTTAAGGCTCAAAAGGGTTAACTGGGGATCATCTCATTGGTAGGCTATGGAATTGTTCAATTTAACATTTGGATCAAGGAGAGCCTATAATCATTTCTCAAGTCAAATTTCACCTAAGATTTCACCTCAACAAACATTCAGGGCAAGTTCTAGACCATTGACTCGGGACTTGGACTCATATTTCGATTCCTCACCACACACGCTAGGGAATTGCTAAAGACATCGAGTCGAGGGCCCACAACAAACTTACTTATGATTTAAGCACATAATGGTCCAAAATTACCACATGATGATTGTTTGGTCAACGCAAGAGTCTCAAAGCCACGACTTTCACCATCCTGAACACAACATTATGTCTTTCACCATGGGATCAAAGGCAAATGTGCTAGGCCCAAGTGAAGCTTTGCTTGAGGTACCTTTAACTACAACTATCAAAAATAAAAGAAAAATCAAACAAACAGACTCAAACCCTTAAGAAGGTAGTCACGCCATCTATCATTGGGAAGAGCCACCCAGTTCGCACAATACTCCACCCTTGGAAAGAACCGTGGCATTAAGAAAACCAAGGGCTTATTGGAGGCGTCAGAAACAAAACAAGAGGCTGCGAGCCTAACTACAAAGCTAAAAACGATTTTTTTTCCGAAAATAGAAAATAGAATGAATATATACAATAGGGGAGTAGAATATACAACGGGGATGAATACATACAAAAATGTAAAGTTATATACAACCCAAAATAAAAAATATCAACAAAAACATAAACTAAGAATCTATATATACAGTCATCCAGATAAAAGTAGGGCGCACCCCCACGAATAAAAGCTGGCATTGTCCTCAATGCCAACTATCAAATAAGCATCAAAAACAAAGTAAAGGATATAGGAGCTCCCTAGGCTTGGTCTGTCTGCATGGGATCATCAGTGGTCCCCAAGTCCTCTGTATTTACGGGAACCTCAGGCTGGTTCCCGATCTCCTGCTGCTCAGCTGCTGGGACTAGGGCCTGCTCCTG